AGTTCGGGACTGCAGCAACAGGAATCTTCTGACATTGTATGGTGAGAGGCTCTCATCTGTATTATGTAGTGTCTCAAGCTTAGCTCAGAGAAAATCTACTCTCCCAAAACTTTATTGCTGCACCCAGAGAGAGGAGTTTCTAGTGGAAACCTAGTGTAGAGTTTCTCACAATGTTCCTTCTAAGAAAGAATGGATTTGGCATTGTGGAAATGTTTCCTGTGGAAGTTGTTGATATTGACAGAATTTTCTGTCTTGAACTGTTTTGGTTCAGGGAGAAGCTTTTAAACCTGAGTGTCCACTACGTACTTTCTATATGTGGACCAAGTAATATGTTATATTATGTCCAAGGTCATACAGGAGTGCATGGAAAGTTGCCAAAGAGTAGGATGCAGAGGACTCAAAGAAAATAGTGCTACGCAGAACTAAAATGTACTAGTTTACATAGTATAATTTTCAGTTAGATATTCTAGTAGATTTTAATTCTGTAAGTTGCTAACTACTCTGTTACTTTATAATATTAGAAAACTACAGGAAGTGTTCTTGTATTACATGAAAATGCATTGTCCTGCAGTCCTGCCACAAAAGATCAGAATTTTTTGTTTGGTTAATGTGCTACTACAGAAGTCCTTTTCTGCCAGTTAAAAGGAGTATTTATTAACTTAGAAATTTTGAGGATATAGAAATCATTACACTAAAACGAAGCTAAAACTCGTTAAATTATGGAAATAAAATTTATGGCAGATTACTCAGTTACGTGTATTGATTATGGAAATCAGAATTGCTTCTCGAAGGATGACCAGCTCTGCTGTAAGTAATCCCGGTACCTAGTAATCCTAGAATGAGCTTATCCTCATTCAGTCCCACCCTTTTCCTGTATCCTCATCTTTTCTGTTTTGTGAAAAGGTCAAAGTACACAAAACTGGCTGAATTAAACAGGCAGGAGTATGATCTGGAGTTAGTTTATGTAAATACACATGTACATAATTTTCCTCGCTCTCCTAGGTGCACTCTACAATCCCTCTCAAGCTTCACATTTCATCCTGAGCTGATACAGCTCAATGTCTCTTCATAGCCTTCCTGGGAAACACTGACTGCATCTTGCAAGATAACGTTTTCAGACACTGCTTGAACCACAATCCTGAAACAGCCTCACACTGCCAATATGTGTACTTCGCTAGGCCGTGGGGGAAAGCATGCAGTTGTCACCTCTCTAAAAATGCTGTGGCAGAACCAGGGCACACTTATCTCTCACATACAGGGCTGGCCATGCTGTCACATCACTTATTGGAGCCTTTTCAGGAGGGACGTATTTCACAAGAGCTCCACCAGAAATTATAGATTTAGAACAACCAAGAGCATGTCTGCAACCAAGTAAAAGCTTCCCTCACCCCACAACCATTATTGAAATGCGATTCAAGCAGACCAGCAGACAGTATGAGACTCTACATGCATCCATCACACACATCCACATAGTCCTTTGGCTTTCAGAGGCTATTCCTTCCAAATACTGGCTAACTCACAGTTAAATGGAGCCATCCTGCTGCTGGCATCACAACAGCTGTGTGAGCCAAAACTACCCCCTGGCTGACCTTCAGCCAGCAAAGGTTCATCAGTTTTGAACCAACTGTAGCAGGGCCAGCATGTCATTGTAAGAAAACTCAGGTTCGTCCAGGAAGAAAGCTCATCTTTACTTGGTTAGAAAAGTTTTTTTGGTTTTGTTTTCCAGACTAGGTTCTACTTAAGCACTCAGACATATCGTGTCTAGGAATATATCTACTGGTCGCTTGAACTGCAAACTGAAGAACAGTTTACTTCCTAGATAGTTAATCCCACCTTACCTTCTTTCCACCCTCAAATCCTATTCACTTCCTCATAAGATCAGGCAACTGAGAAATCATGTAGGATCACATCTTAATGACTCCCTTTTCCAAATTCCCTTGGCCCTAGTTCCTTTAAACCTGTGCTGTAGGATGCTCTTACACTGTAGGATGCTCTGTTGCCCATGTCTGTAGAGTTAGATAATGCCTTTAATGAAAGTAAAGTAGGTAAATCCTGACAAGCATTCTTAGTCCTAAGAAGGGAGCAGAAACTGTGTTCTTGCTTCTTGAAAGCAGTGGTTCAGACAGGTGCATAATCTGATTGAGCTGAATACAGTGAACAGACATGAAAAAAGTCCTTGGACAGTCTCCAAATCTAACTTCAGCACAGAGCCAAGAATTTGAGTGTTGGAAAGACCTGCCTGGCAAGGCTGGAGACAGAAGATGTGTCTCTAATAGCCATATGTGATGTGCTGGAGAGTGGGAGAGGGAGCTGCTGTGTTACGTTAAGGCAATTGCTGAATGTCTGGTCAGACACCCTCAGATGTTGCTTGAATGGCTACAGATTTCTCTGGTAGAGCTCAGGGTCAAATATTGCCAAATAACCAGCATGAATATGCCACTGTTAGCCTGTTGACGCTTACCTTCTGTGGGAAGCTCCAGCTAAAGATGATATTTTTGATTTGGTTTAAGTATTTTTCGTTTTCACTCTGCCGGTCTCTCACAGACCCGTGAGCAGCTGAGACCTGGCTCAGAAATTCCAATACTGCCTGGAGGTCTCAGGAACAGAGGCCCTCTGGCCAGCCTTGGGAGGCTTTTAGTTGTCATAGGAAACAGTGAAGAGGGGTGACATTTCTGAGGCCCAGATGTGTTCCTTAAGAAAGTGCCTTCAGTCCTTCAAATGCCTTTAAATATTAAGTTAAGAAGGTTTAGGTTGGATCTCAGGAAACACTTCCTCACGGAGAGGGTGCTCAGGTACTGGGATGCACTGCCCAGGGAAGTGGTGGAGTCACCGTCCCTGGAGGTGTTTAAGGAGCGGCTGGATGTGGCACTTAGTGCCATGGTCTGACCGATGTGGTGCTGTTGGGTCATAGGCTGGACTTGATGATCTCAGAGGTCTTTTCCAGCCTCAACAATTCTGTGATTCTGTGATTAGTAAAAGTCAAATCTTTACATATGTTGGGCAGTGGAGAGCTGCCCATTCACAGAATGTGAATTTTCTTGAGAGATGAGGAATAGATCAGGTGCCATTTGAGCAGCATTGTAAGGCTGAAGAGATGATACACCAGGTGGGGTGCTTTCACCACAGCTGTCATAAAGAGCAAGCTAATGTGTATGTGGATATGTCCATAATAAATAAACATTGCAATTTGACAGCTCCGTGGCTTGAGCTTAAAGGTTTTGTCACATGTGAAAAGATAAGATATTGTTATTGCATGTTAAATCCCTCAGCATTACCTTAGGCATCTCAGCAAAGATGGAAGGAAATCCCCTACAGGGTGGAGAATTTTTTCTCAATGGTATTTGGAATTGTAACTTTATATATGGCAAATTTTGTGTTGTGCTACCTTTCCCTTTTTCCAGAAAGATTTTTAAAAGCTGTAAGAACCAAGCCTCTAGTTCTTTCCCTCTGTACAGGCTTAACTCCTCAAAACTTTCTCCTCAAATGTCATTTGAGAACAAACACTGGCTTGTCTACGTCCAGTCTTCTTTTTCAACATCTCCCTGTTTTCACCCCTGGTTTTCAGAGGTGCCAAAAACCTTGTGATTTTCCTGCCTCAAAAGACGTCGCATACCAAGTAATTCTTCTTCTCAGCAATGGTTACTTACCAGATGATTCAGTAACTTCCAAAAACTTCATGCTGCTCTTCCTTCCTCTCATCTTAGCGCTGCGTTGTGACGCATATGTTTCTGGCATCTGTAAAAACACTGTATCTGCCTAACACAGCTAGAGCCTTCTTTAAACTCAAAAGCAGAAAAATGTGTGCAGGCATTCTTTTCTGGGCACAGAATTTCTCAATTACATAAAACAGAGATAAGCCTCACTTGCAGAAGATTAAAAAAAAATCAAAGGAAAGTAGTGGTGCTAGCAAAGATAGAAGGGGAGAAACAGTTGCAATGTGTTTGGCAGAAGCCATTGAACATACAGAAAGATTGTTTCAGTTCTTTGTTCGCAGAGCTCCCCAGCTTCTGATTTTACAGGACCTCATCCTGGAATCTGAGATGTGGCCTCTAGGAAGAAAAACAGAAAATGCTCCCCACAGTATGGACAGATTTACAGCAATTTGGTTTCTTCAAGCAGAGCATTTGCTCAAGTCGTAGCATCAAACTGTTAAATCAGACAACCAAAACATGGTGCAGAGTATCTCCACCAGCTAATCTTTATGTAATCAGCTACATAGAAATGCACTTCGATAAGTGAGTCCTAGTGGTGAATGTGTTTATGGGTGTTTAGTGAGGATTTGGGGGGACGATATTTTTCATACCTGCTGCTCTGTAAGTCTTTCCCCAGTGAATGTGAGGGAATTTGGCTTCCTCACTTCTGAGCAGAATTATGTTATCAACTAGAGTGGTTAACCTGGGTCTCCATACGGTAAGTGAATGGATAAGGAAGACAAAGCCAGTGTGTGAGAGTTTGAGGCACGTATATATTTACAGAACTCAAGCTAGCATGCACACAAAGGGGAAAACAGTGATTCAAACCCTATTTCCTGTAGGTTATAAGGGCAGAAGAGATGCTTCATTGTGATGGTTAATTGCTTCCATGTCAAACATGTACTATGATCATGAGAATAGAAGTTGAATAGTTTAGGGTAATTAAGCAAAACATACCTCAAAACATGCCTCTCAGAAAAGGAAAGAATCTTAGGTGTGTAAGTCGATATTCAGTGTCTCAGATTTAAATCAGAGACAATTTATGTCCTATGACCCTTTGCAAAGCTGAAGAAGTAAAGTGACTGAACTAAATCAGTAAAGAGAACCAACAATTACCAAAAGAGTATAGTAACTCCAACTACTGAGCCACTTAGAGTAAATCATTGTGGATGTCAGTGAATTTTTGGGAACACCTGCCCCTGCCGGCATTTTAGCAAGGCAGTCCAGTCTGACATCCCAATGCAATAGTTCTGCGGTGAAGTCTTATTTTTGTTTTAATCACAATATTTCTATTACACTATTTTCCAGGCCCTGATTATATCAAACAAAAATTTCAAGAAGGAATGGAGGTGAAAGAAAAATCTGATGAAAAAGTTCAGGAAAAACCACCTACCCCAAAAGAGTCGCCTCACTTTTATCGAAAAGGTACTACACCCCCTCGAACCCCAGAAGCAAGTCCAAGGCATAGTCCTCCACTTTCTTCTGAGTCTTCTCCTTCAAAACAACTGAAAAGGCAAAGCTCCACTTCTGGGGCAAGACTCGGTCCAGAAAAAAAGCTTTTAGCCACTGAGAATATAACACCCACAATTAACAAGCCTTTATATTCGAAAGCACCAATGGAGGAGGTAGCTGTGAAACACCAGCCAAAGTTTTCAGCCCATCACAATCCCAGCACAGAGAATGGGGAGCTCCATGGTCACTACCATGGCTATTATGTAAAAGTGAATCCAACAGCGCTTCCACAGGAGCTCAGGGAAGAAGATGAATATGTCAACCCGTCACCGTCAACACTTGCACGGCTACCGCCCTCACAGAAGCCAAGTCCTGCTAGATCTGGGGGTAAGCCAGATGCCAAAGAAAACAAATCTGAGACAAAAATTAAGAAACCAGAATTTGCTGCACCAAAGAACCCAGCTAATAATGAGTCACATTCAGCAGTGGATAAAGAAGTAGAAAACAGCTCGGTGAGTACTGCAAGAAACGTTTTCACTTTCACTGCCCTTTTGCCTCCTAGTGCTGAGCCTTGCAACGTAAAGACAGGCAAAGCTCACTGCTGTCAAATCTTCATCTGGATACAGTCTGCTAGCTAGAACCCACTACACCAAACTGAAGTGAGGAACAAATATTCCAGTCTATTTTGTTACCATTTTTGAAAACTGGGAAGGGATAGTCAGATACTGACAGATATTTGAAACATGTATCTCTCTTGCACCCATAAACACAAAAGGTGTTAGCATGTGTATTAGTGTGTGCTTGTGTTTTGTGTGCATGTAGATACATATTTGCAGAGGTATATATTTATGTATATCCCCCCTCTATCAAAAAACGTTCTTCAGTTCAAACAATGTACTTCAATGGATAATTGGGCAGTACTGGGAATTAGACTCATGCTCTTCACGAAAATTCTGCTTCTGACTGCAGTTGGAAAAAGAGTGCCGACCTGTGGCCTGACCCCATCCAGACAGTCTCCCATTTTCATTTTCTTCTTTATGTTGATTGTAGGTCTAAAACTAGGCAATTTGCATCAAAATATAAACTATTTTAGAATGCATAGTTCTAACAATATTTGTGTTTTGCAGTGACATAAAAAAAAATTATTTAACATCGGAAAGTGGAGAAGCTTTAACACTACACATTCAGATCAGTGTGAATCGGACTCTCATTATTTAGAAATAATGGAACCACCAGTAGTTATGCAGAAAAGATGACTAATAACATTTTCATTCCATGTTAGAAGAAAAAGCCAGATTATCACATTCAGAATCTCTAATTATGATAAAATTATTTCTGGGCCAAGAGAAACTCGTTAAAATGTTAGCTGTAGATCCTGAAGTTAACCTTTAGCAAGTGATAATTGTCACAATATTTCTTTTTTATAAGCATTATTTCTTTGATTTGTTTTTGTTACTCCAGTAGAAAAAAACAACAGTGTCTTTGATTGTTGATGGGATAAACAAAATGACCCATTTAATGAGATCCGGTTAGCCTAGCACTGGTTTTAGCCAAAACAGTTGAATAATTGACACCAGACTTCATTAATAAAAAATTTTAAAATAAAGAGGGGCAGCAATTTCCAATCAACATGCACTGTAAAAGATCTTATGAAACAAGTTTGACAGGTATGACAGAGGAATGATATCCTCAGTCAGGAAGGTCAGTTGATTTGCTTTTACACAGTTATTTATTCTGACAAGGAAGCCAGAGTAATGCGAAGGCTAAATGTCACACTAAAATAATTTTTCTGAAACTCACTGGTGGTTCCCAAAAAATAATTCGAAAAAAGTCAGTAATTTGGTATTGTTCTGGTGAGGTCGTTCTTGGATTAATTCTGCTGCTCTGTTTCATTAACATTCTTATTAATGTCATGGAAGAGGAGACATAAAAGTATTACCTGTGAAGTTTGCAGAAGACACAGAGAACAGGAAAATGGAGAATAACGAAGACAATGGATTGCCAGTACAAATTGATTCATATCATGCACTAGAAAGGTGCAAGTATAATTATACATGTGCAGCACAGCAAAATGTAAGATTCTGTACTGAAAGAGAGTTAATAGTGCCTAGCCATGCAGGATCAGAACTGGAAAAGGTTAGCAGACAGGAGCAAGAGAGGCAACTAAGCATGAGCTCCCAGTCTGCTGCTGTTGTTCAGAGATGTTAATATAATCCTTAGATTTATCGACAGGAAAGATTAAGCAATAGTACATGGGAGTCTGTTTTATCTGGTTTTGGCACTGGTGCAACCACTTCTGGAATAAAATACAGTGTTCATAAATCAGGGATTTAAAATAAAAAAAAAAACCTTAAGGGAAAGTCCCTCAAAGAACTGCAAGAATGATTAAAACATATCTTACAATGGAAGATTCAAGGCAAAAAAAAAAAAGCCTGACATTAAATCATTTTCTGTAAGTACACTTTATTAAACAGTTTCCTGAGCTAACAGGCAAATGTAAGAACATCCAGCAGCTGGACAGGTTTACATAAAAGACTTGTTTTAAGTTGCTTTTAATGATATTAATTAAATTAATTTTCAGATGCCGAGTTTTTGGAGCAGTCACTGAACAGTTTGATAATGAGCATTTTGCCAAGATGATATCTTC